AAAAAAAAAATAGAAAAATCCCTCCGTTTCATACCTGCTGCCGCCGCAGAGGTGCGGATGTGCAGTGCGCAACCCGCGGCAGCAGCTGGGGCAAGGGTCGGAGGCGAAGCCCCAGCCCCGTCCCGCTCCCCGGCTGCCCCGTGGTCCCGGGCAGCCGGCGCCGACCCCCCGCCCCGGTCCCCGCGACCTGCATCGCCAACAATTCGGATTCATTATGTAAAACGGGCTGGCAGCGCCAGCTCTTGCAAGCCGCGTCCAAATAAAATCAAAAGGGGCTTTTAGGCTTCCAGCCACCACATCCGCCCGCCGAGCAAAAGCCTCTGGCGTGGGTCAGTTCCCCGCTGCCCCCGCCCGCGGCTTTCCCCGCCCGCTCCGGCCCGTCGCCCCCGCGCCCGGCCCCGGGCCGTACTCACATCTCGGTAACATTGTCGCCCTCAGCGCTCCTCTGCGGCACGGGAAAGGAAGCGATGCCCGGCGACGATCCCGTGCACCAGATCCGCCAGGAGCTGCACCCGCAGGACGCGGGGCAGCCCAGCGCAGCCGGCCAGCAGCCCAGCACCAGGCAGCACAAGCCCCACAGCTGCGCCAGGCCGGGACCCGGCCTCCGCCGCCAGGACACCATGCTCACTCCAGCACTGCCCCGACGGCCTCCTCCAGCTCCCGCCGCCGCCGCTGCCGGGCGCACGGCCGGAGGGTGCGCAGCCTTCCGCGCCGCGGGCGGGCACGCCGGGTTCACATGGGCGCGCCGCAGCCGCAGCCTCCGCCGCCCCGCTGAGGGCTCTGACCGCCCCGCTGAGGGCTCTGACCGCCCCGGGCGCCGCGCGGGCCGGCGGGGGCCGGTGCTGGGCGCCGCGGCGACGGGGACGAGCGGGGCCTCCGGCGCGGCACCTGCCCCTAGCCCCGCGGGCGGACAGCGGCGCCGCCTGCCCCCGCGGCTGCTGCCGATGATGCTGCAAAACGCGCGGGGCGGAGGGGGCAGGTGGCGGAGGCTGCGCTCCTATCTGCGGGGGCCGCTGACCGCCGGAGGGACGGCGAGCGGGCGGCGACGGAGGCGCAGCGAGCGGCGGCGGCGGCGGCGGGGCTCAGAGCTCCGCGCTCGCCCCTTTATGCACCGTCTCCTCCTCCCTCCCTCCAGCTGATAATAAAGCAGCTCCGGCTCCTGCTTCAGCCCAAGACGGGGAGCTGCCGGCAAAGTGACGTGGGGCTGACGCAGAGAGGGGCAGAAACTCCACAAAATGAGCCTGAAATAAAAATGAAAAAAAAAAAACAAGGGAGGAAGGAGGAGGGAGCGGGGGAAAGGGAGGGTGCCGAAGAGCAGATACCAATAGGCAGCCTGCACTTGAGCTTTCAGCCTCGCACGTACATGTACATGTACACACACACACACACACTCATACCGGCGTACACGCACGCCGCGGGATGGGCAGCGCGTCGCCGCCTGTGCGGACAGTGTGCCTCGCCTGGCGGACGGAGGCACCGTGCCGAGAGGCACCTGGCATGCCCGCCAAGGCGGGAGCTGGCCATCGGGTGATAAGCGGGGGTGCGAGAACTCCGGGAGACGACGAATGAGCGACCATAAAACGCCTTGTTTTCCCCTTGACAGCTCCGCGGTCGGGGCTGGTTTTCGTTTCTCTGCCCCCACCCCCGGTTGCGGGCTCCGCAGCGCTGCCAGCGCACCGGATCCCGCCGCAGTGCCCCGCGCTGAGCGCTCCGCAGGCGCCACCGCGCGTCCCCGCCGCCGCCGTGCACCGCGGCCCGGCCCGGAGAGCCGTGCAGCCCCCGCCGCCCCACCGACCCCCGGGCGCCGGGTGGGACGGCGCACGACACACCACGAGAAGTAGTTACCATTTCCCGACATCGAGGCTGAGGCAGGTCTGAATGACATACATGTGTCACGTATTCGCAGGTGCAAAGACCCGCTGATCTTCCCTTGCTGTTTCTGAGATTCTGTGCTTCTGTCCTGGCACATGACATCTATGACGACAGGTTCTTCACTTATCACTTCACCATTAAGTATAAAAATGTTGATGGTCCTTTCTTACCTTGTTACCCAAGCTGAATGTTTTGAAGTTACTAAACCAGGGCAAATTAAAGAATAAAAGGTTACGGAATTCCTATTACAAAGGTACAGAATGAACAGTTAATACATTGTTAGAAGGTGCTTGGGAATCCATTTGACATGACATTCACTAATTGAAAACACACTCCATTCCATTTGTATTTGCTCAGGCTAACAGGAAAAGCCACATTTTACCAGGTGGCTTTGTAGGCCAAGCATGTGTAGATTTTGCTTTAAAAGAACATCCTAATAAGAAAGTCATAGACATACCTAGCTGAAGCACTCTATACAGAAATAATATACCTCCCCATAAAGCAACAAATGCAGACAGTACAAAAAGCCATAATCAAAAAAATTGTCAGTCATGATACTTTTTAACCAAAGTTCTGAAGTTTATTGTTGTATACTCAGAATATACTGCCTCTCTATGAAGTTCAGCACTTTGAAGTAAAGTATTTCTCTAAACAAAATATTTATGGAAGGAAAACAAGTAAAATTAAAATGTCATGTGGCATTTTTCTAGAGGAAAATGTTGGTAATTTTTAAAGAATGTGAAGGAAAGAGAAAAAATAATAGCATAAACTGCAATACTATTCAAATCAGAAAAGACCTTGAGAAAGAGCCTTAATGCAGGGTAGAAGTAAAATTTTTAAACCTGTAAGTTGCTGCAACACCCGTATTATTGCTCTCCAGCCAAGTCTTCTTACAGTTTTGGAAAATGTGCTTTATTTCCCCCTCTCTCTCCTGGAGGAACACAAGGATATCACCTCATTGGGGCAATAAATACCCTTTTTAACTGTCCTATCAATTCTATGACAACAAGCTCACATTAATCTTATCATATATACTGAATCAGCATATATACTAATCAGCATATACTGAACATTATTCTTTCACAAACATCTGTTTTCTGTGAATCTGTGAAATTGAGGCGTTGTCAAAGAAGTTTTAGATAAAACCATGCAATTGGATCAAATTGGCTAATTAAACAATTCAATAGTGTTGAAAGAGTAAAGTTCTGTAGGCCAGATCATATATATTCATAAGGTTGCAGACCAGTGTTAAATAAAGCTTGAGGCAACACTTGGAAAAGGGTATTATCACCTGTTGTGGTAAACATCAGTTTCTCTGCTGCAATTCAAAATATTTCTTATAGGAGTGTTGCTAACTGTACAGTAATCTTGTCTTAGAAGGTTTGAGATGCATATATTTCTATATGACAATACCAAAAATTATCAGGTGTGAAACTATGATGGTAAAATTGCCAACTACTGTTAAAAACCTATTTTCCCCCTAAAATTAGTATTTGACCAAAATTGACGGGGGAGGGAGAATGTGGGAAGAAGCAAACTGAAATTGTCATATTTTCAGGTGACCAAAATTGTTAAAATGAAAGCTATGGAATACTCTATCAAGAAATACCATTGCTGGCTTAGTAGGGAAAACAGCAGCCCTTTCTACAGGCACAGCTCCTGCTTTGAGTCTTTAAATTCTAGAATTACTAAAGGGAAAGGCTGTACAAATAAGTTCAGTGGTAAATCATGACTTCGCTTCTACATAGATAAGTTTTATTTTGATGTTTTCTGTGCATATTTTTCTCTCAGATTCAAGAAAGTAGAAAAGAACATAAAATACTCAAATACTTCCTATTAATCAGTACTTAAGGAAGAGCCACAATATGAATCAATATTTAAGGAAGAGCCACAACTAAACCTCTAAAGACAAGTAGCTTTCTGGTAATGCTACAAGACAAAATATCATCCTGAAGGTGGTAAAATTATGGCAAAGAGTTAAACATATTACAAAGCTATAGAGTGTGGTGAGAGGGTTAGAAAATATGAATTGAGCCAAGATTGAAAGAACTCACTTTCTTCAGTTCATGAAAGTCTGACAGAAAGTTCAATAACAGCCCTGAAATATGTAACAAGGACAGGTAATATTTTTTGTCTATAGGATAGGACAAGGATTAATACACTTGATTTACAACAAGGCAGATTCATGTTTGGCATCATGAAAACTTTTGAAAAGAACAGTTAAGAACAGCAAATAGATCACTTCAGAGAACCCTCAAATCTTGAGTAATAGAGCCTTCTCAGAGCAGATGAGGTAAACCTCTTCCAAGCTGGTAAAGAGATTTGCCTTAGGTGAGAGCAAATCAATGACTTCCCAGAAAATCTGTTGTTTGCAATACACATTTCTTTGCCTTTTTTTTTTTTTTTTTTTTTTTTTTTGACATAGATAAATTTATGGGAGAACTTTCATCTGACTATATTACAAGGAAAACCTGAAGATGCTGAAAAACTCACTGTTTGCTTGAAATTTGTGTTCTAAAGTTTACCATTTGATTGCTTCAAAAGTTTTGAAACTAACTCATACACCATACATAAAGAATGTGTCACAGCACAGGAAGTATAGTAAATATCTGTAAAAATTTAAACATGTATTTTGTAAAAGAGGTAGGAGCTGAAAACTCAAAGACTCCTTGTGAGAGTACTTTTATTTAGGTGGAGGAATAAGGAATTATACCACAGAGTCTGGGAACAGGTAAAGGCTACATAATTTGTGTGTGCAATGGTACCTTATCCCATCCAAAGGAATGTGTACCAAAAGACTAGTCTCACCAAAACTGTGCAGAAATAAACTGCTTAAACTTTGCTTACAGTTTGAGAATTTTTAGCTCTTACAAGAGTGAGAGGTTGGACAGTTCATGGGACCTTATGATCTTATCAGAAACATTTTGTTTTCCAGCAAAATATCCCAATTCCCATGAAACTTTTCACATGAAGTATTCTTGCGTTCAAGCTAGAATTATGGTCATATACAACTCTGTACCATGACTCAGAGCAAGCTTGTGAACTCCGCTTGACAGCATCTTTTGGGCTTACACTGAGGTGTACCTGCTTCTCTAACATAAGATCTCACATCTTTTCCCTGAATGACAAAATCTGGCTTCCATACTACACTTTTCTGAATTTCCTCCAAACACGAGGCACTCTCCGAGTGTTTTAGCTTACATTTTAATCTTTCCAGTATTCCACCTATTTGCAGATTTATCTAGCTACTTTATGCTGGCTGATTTTGCATTCCTAATAATGTGTTTACCTTATCACTTTGAAGCCCTACTCAGCCTTCATTTGCTTTAAAGTGAAGCTGAATCCTGCCACCTTGTGCTCAAGAAAATCAGCACAACTTTTTATTTTGGGAAGGAGAGAAAAAAGAGGAAAGGGGAAGGAAAAGTTTATTAACTACCATTTTTCTATTAAACAAGGATTTGAAGATCTGGAGATTTAATTGGTTGGGTCCAGTTTGATATGGCCTGAGATGTCTGCATGAGATCTTCTCAAAAGGACAATCACTCTCCTAGAGACACTGTTCACACCATGGAGAGCCACTTTCAATCTCTCTGCAGGGGTTTGAAGCTGTGGCCTCCTCCGTAACCTGATGCAACTAAGACACTTATCCAGCCTCTCATCCTGTAACCTCTGTCTGTTTGATGGCTCAAAGTATTAATCACAGTGTTCTGGTTATGCTTGGTCACATTTGCTATGACACCACCATTACTTTCTTTTCATCAATAAGAAATCACATCACAGACTGGATGGAAAGACCTTTCTCATTTATAAAAAAATACGAGTATTTTTAGAGGGGGTGGTAAAAGTAATCCTTGTAAGGAGCAATGGATGTCCTTTTTCTGCTTAAGTCCAAGTAAACATTCTTTTTTTCTGTCTGACATGATTCCACCAATACCTTTCTGGTAATGTGTAAATGCAGACATCATCCCAAAGGTGGTAGAACTGACACAGACTTGGAAAGGTATCTTCCTCCACCACACGCTTAATTGCACCTTCCCTCCTCCTCACCCCTGCCTTGTTCTGTACACTGCCACTCCCTTCCCTGCATCTTGTCACTGTGAGCTCCTGCCTCAGCATCAGCCTATCTTATCCACCACTCTTGTGAGTCTCTGCGTAGCTAGACAAACAGAGCAGCTTGTTGATTCTGCAGCTATCTAAGCAACCGCACTGGATGCCTGGTAGCAAATATAAATGGTGTGTCTACCTGTAAGACTTCAGCAACACAAAGCAACTGACCAGCACTGATGTTCTGTTTTGTTGGGTTATTTCCAAACAGTGTTTGTTTAGGTTAAGTTTGTATTAAGCGCATGGATTTTCTCAGTTCATAGAAGTCATTTCTTTCTCAGATAGCTGACTCTCTATATGTCTGTTTGCACATACATATTCTGTTTTGCAAATCATGCTTCTCTTTCCAATTATAAGGATTCAACAGGTGGCAAATAGCAACATAATAAAAATCTGAGAGCTAGTTGTCGGTTTTCTCCCCATTTAAAAGCTATCCAAACTATAAGGATTTTTTGGCCATGTTGAGCCAATGAGATTCTGAACCTTCCTTTAGAGTAGTCAATGTAAAATAAAATAAAGGGAAAAAAAAAGACAAAGAAAGACTCCCCAAAATCCAGTCTCCAGTACACTAATTAAAAAGATCCAAAACCATCAGCCTTCTGAAAATTTAGTTATTGGAACACTGCAGGCTAGCTTCATTTGGCACAAGTTACTGAGTTACAGCTGCTCTGATCATTTACATAGACTACATTACACTATGCGTTGCTTGTGGTTGTGATTTTCAACTCCTTGTCCTCCAAGGCCGTAGGAAATACATGGAGCTGAAGAAAGAAAGCTCTGTAATTTATTGCTCAAGATAGATATCATTTAGGTTTTGATGCTGATATGCTTATCATGGCTGTGCTAGTTAGTGTTTCGTTCTAACAGAGAGCAAATATCATTATAAAGCCTGTTTCTCCAAGGGGAAATACTACTTGTACTGTTGTGTTCATTGTTGATAGCATACAGAGGACCCAGTAATTGTGTTCTAAAACTATTGATTATGTCTGAGCT